CTATTCTGATAGGAAGGTAGGTTACATAGGTATATGCACTTACGCATTCTTGTTAAGTGACACACTTCAGAGTTGTGCATTTTGTTGTCTAAAAGACTAGTTGAGTGTATTCAAACTAAGTGGTTAAATTAAACGGAAAGAAGCAGAAAGAGGTAGCAAACAGCCATACTAGTAAGACTGTTAGACTCTGAATCACAGGTAGATGTGTTCGTGTACCACTGTTTCCACGTTTTTTACCGTACATATTTGAAAATGTACCATTCACGCAATTCTGGCTCTCTCTTCACTGCAAGAACTGGCAATGAGGACGTCTCCACGAGATCGTGGCTTTTATAGGCCGTTCTCCACGAAGATGAACCACGGCTCATGTACAAACAGCTGATTCCCGGATGGGGTTAAGGAAAATGCAAGGGGATTTTCTGTGTCAGTGGGAACAACAAATGACGGGGCAGTGCTGAAAGGGACTTTTAGAAGCCAGCTTGAAAGGCCTTACGTCATCCATGAATAAAATATAAAACCATGATTCACTACAGATACAGGCAAAAGTGAAAGTAACTTTAGGGTAGGAAAATCCTAGCAAAATACCTAATCAAGTGATCAAAATGATTACTACTTTGACAAATACGGTACATCAAAATTCTGTGCTAATAGTCTACAAGTAGAACCATGTAGAGATGTTCTTGTCAAAGACTCAAGACATGAATCTAATCAGGAGGACACATCAGATACACTGAAGGACAAAACGGGCTTAAATTCTTTAAAAATTGTCAATGTCATGAAAAGTCAAGACTTCCAAATTCACCTTGAGAGAGATTGATTGTAATTAGATGAAATACCTGAATTGGAACTGTTTAAAAAATAAAAAAAAAAAATATATATATATATGGGAAAACCAGAAACATTGGAATAAAGCCTGAGATGTAATGACCATTTCTTGAGAAGTAAAAAAAAAAAAAATTGTTTGATTGGGGTTACGTAAAAGAATGTTCTTGTTTGTACAGATAAGGAATAAAAATTCTTTTTAAAGGAATAAAATGTGTAAAACACCTATAATCTTCTGTAAGCCTTAAAATTGTTTCTGAAGTTTCATAAACTATAAGCTTTATCATCTTCCAACTACTAAACTGGCAAAGGTTAAATAAAACACGACCTCACTGGAGGCTGGAGAATGTGGGGGAACGAATACTCAGTACATTGCCCCAAGAGAGGTTAACTTAACCTGATGAGGCCAGAAGGTGATTTGAAATAAACAAAACCACAATGCCACTTCTTAAAATATATCCTTTGAAAATACACATACGTGTGCACAAAGTTAGCTGTGGGCTTCAAAAGGTTTGTGGGAATATGCAATGGAAAGATAGTGGAGTTTTTCCATGAAGTTTTAACCACCCTTCAAAGAGCAAAACCAGTAGGATTAACACGGCTCACAGCACATCAAGGGTGACCACAAGCAGTCAGTTGAGTAGTCAACTCACGATGGAAAATGCTCAAGTTTAAAAGGCTATGACCTTTTTTTTAAAGACTGAAAATACCTATCAAAATGTTCACCAGTGGTACCCAGTCAACCAACCCAATGCTGTCAGGTGGATGCTGACTCACTGACCGGAGCTGCGCCCTATGTGGTCGGACACTGCACACCCTCCTGAAGGAGGGCCACCTCTCTCCGTTCCTGCGGAGCAGCCGGCAACCACCAACCTCCTGGGGAGCGGCCCAACACATACCCCACTAGTGATGGGATTGGAGGTGATTTTTAAAGTTTCATCTTTGTGCTTAGCTAGTCTACAACATTTCATAAGGACAAACTCAACTTTTTATTCATCAAGTGATGCATTATTTCCCAAGACCACAAAATTCGGGAGTTGAAAGGGGTCTTAGAAATCAAGGGTCTCCTTCAGGAAACGACAGTGCGTTAAAGGGAAGGGACTTGCTTGTAATCCGTTGGCACCAGAGGCACCACACATGGTTTCCAGTGCACTTCACCTCATTGCCTATCTCTACAACACTTGCTTGGAAAGCCAGACATTCCGTCATTATAAATGCTCCCCTTATCACAGTGTTGCCATCTTTCTCTCTGAATGTGACCAGCACTGTCCCCCAAGACACCAAGCTGCTCAGGGGGCAGGGTATTCTGGTGATACTTGGGACAATTACCATATCACCTCCATGACATCCTGAGCTTGTTGCCCTTGCTCCTGCTCCGACAAGCCTCAGCACCCTGGGGAGCCAGCTTGCACACCTGCAGCTCATTGCTCAATCAGCAAATGTTGACTGAACTGAATGCCGTGTGCCAGGAGCTACAGGAGCCCCAAGAAAGCAGACTGGGAATGCTGTCCTGGTTTGCCTATAAGGAATATGTAACCTAATATTAAATACTCACAAAACAGATGGTGTTTTCAGAATTCTTATTCCTCCAGGCTGATCGGGAAAGACATCTTCCAAGAAAAAATATATATGTCCAACTGCGATACCTAGAGTGTAGCAGGAATAACAAGATGATTAACATGTGGAACACAGGTGGGCCGACCCACGTGTGCTGCTTTTATTTAAGTTAGCTAAAAATGAGCCCTGGTGGCGTAGTGGTTCTGCGTTGGGCTGCTAAACCACAAGGTCAGCAGTTCGAAACCACCAGCCACTCCTCGGGAGGCAACGGTCCCTCTTGTAAAGAGTTAGTCTCGGAATCCACTTAGCCTCATAAGGTCACTATGAATTGGAATCGACTTGATGGCTGAGTTTGTTTTTGGGGGGGACATCAAAATAATAACCCCCAATTAAAGTAGTCTTTAGCCATCAACCAACCCTCAAATGAAGGTCATGACACAGAAGATATGTAAAAAGCATGCAAATACAGGCGAAACTAAAATACCTGAAGTGGTGATGAGACACTTACCCAAGAGGTCCACAATGATTGAGTTCCCCAACAGCAAGGAAAACCCCATGAGCACCCAGGGCAGGAAGGGGGCCTGGAAGTTGAGAAGGCCGAAGAAGTTCATGCGGACGTACGGGTTCCTTCGGCTCCACACGTAGACAAGCATGATTGTAAAGGCCTGACCCAGGAAAACTAAGCTCACAAACAAGCCAAAAAGCTAGCGGGTGGCATTAAGGAAAACGTCCACGGTCAAAGCGTAGCAGAGAGCTGGGGACTGCGCCCCAGAGAGAATGCTCTGGCAAAGGCAAGCAGGACTCACAGCTCTAGAATCCAAAGAGTGAAAAAAACCGGTACCCACAGCAAGTGGGCGAAGGCCGGCTTAGCCCATCACCGCAAGTGTAGCTCCCTCAACGTGAGGGTCTGCTCGGGCACTGAACTCCGGGCCTCTTTGCAAAGTGTTGTTTGGTGGATGGTGACATTCAGGCTCATGTACCACTAGCACTTTGCCAGAGCTGGGGTGAAACCACCTTGCCAGAAAGGACCATGTCTGAGTGTGTGATACAAATCCACTTAAAAAAAGGATTTCTTCATCTTGATGGTAACCAAATGTGTTTTACCACCTTAATTTAGTAGGACAACCATCAACAATGCCATCACAAAGATGCTAAGTTAGTAACCCACCTGACTCCAGGCGCCTAGGACTTCAGGGAAGAGCCCCGGTGGCGAAGCAGGTTGTGTGTTGGGCTGCTAACCGGAAGGTCAGCAGTTCAAATGCCCCAGGGACTCTGCACGGGAAAGATGAGGTTTTTCTGCCCCTGTAAAGATGTTTAGCCTTTGAAAACCACAGGGGGCAGCGCACTCTGAGCTGAAATCGAATTGGTGGCAATGAGTTTGAGTTTATAAGACTTGTAGCAGAAAAGACATCTGGTCCAACTTCATGGCTTGGAAAAGGTGATCACATAAAGTACGCTTAAAAACAGTGGTGCCCTGAAGCTAAACTCGGGAAGCCTGCGTGGCCCAGGGCTGGTTCAGAGTGCCTAGTGAGCTGTGGGAGACAGAAGCAGCAGCTTCAGGGAGAGAGGGTGTTCTTTGACATTTCCCTGCACATGCTCTTGAAGGATACAGTCATTAAGAATCCACCAAAAAGGAACATAAATACAAAGTCTGCCGTCCGACCTCGGAAAGAGCCTTCTTCTAGCATTCGACAGTAACGATATCTTCATTTCCAAGTTAAGAAAACGTTTCACACACAAATAGGAAGAGAGCAAAAACTTAGCGTGTCACAGAAGGTACACTCGGGCTCAACATTAGTAATCATTCATGCGGGTGAATGTTTGAGTGGCAGCTGGATGGCTGTATCCTGTATCCTATTTCCCCCAAACTCACCCCGGTTGGGGAATTAACTCCAGATGTTGCACAAACACGCTCCTATCAAACCTCAGCCGCACTCTGATAGTTGCCATCCTTGCATTTCCATAATCCAATTGGGAAGAACTCCCCGTCAAGAAGCCTCGTGTGATAAACTATTTTTCCAGGCTCAAGGTGAAGCATTTCAAAGCTTCTCTCTGTGAAGATGTTTTCGGATTTGAAAAGCAAAGGACGAATTAGAAGTACAGCAGAATGACAGGCCAACTGAGAAATAGGGCTGTCTCCCTGTTCAGGACTCTGGCCACTGCAGATGAGCTACGCTGTGAGTCCCAGCTCTCGGAACCCAAGGGGGACAGGGAGGAGGAGAAACCCGTGACCAAGCTTAGCTCTCCCTTTCGACAAATCCACACCTGTGAAGTCCAACAGACAACGTGGCACTGTCTTTTCAGCCAAGAGCCACGGAGACGACCCAAGTTCCCGATCCCTCCACACACCCCTTTCCCAATGCCTAAGCTAGGGCTCTGCTCAGGGAATTATTGTACATGGATTCTTTTTATCACTGATGTTTTGTTCTTGAATTGCTTCTCCATTCCCTTACTTGGGGGAAGAAATGCTCTACCCCCTTTTATTGTTGCTAAATATCTTCCACAGGGGGTGACCTACAGACACCCTCAAAACATGACTGTCTGACGGAGGGCTCTGTATCCTGCTACAGCTATGATAAGAGCAAAAGAAAGAGCAAGGTCCGAGAGTTTTCATTTACAGGGGGATTTCCTTTGTAAACCCAAGGTTTTCACACTGACCCCACTTAGTCAAAGGATACAGAAAAATCATGTTAAATAAAAAGTTGAATCCAACTGGCCCAAAAAATAAGAAATTGGTGATTAATCTCCATATCTGTTAAAAAGAAAAAAAGAAGAAATAAGATATATCAGCAGAGAACTTTTCCATACCAACACAAAACAGGCTTTGGTTGCTGAAAAAACCTATAAATTCAGTAACGCTCGGTCATGAACCACTAGGAATTGAATCATGTCTTCCAATGATACAGGTTGTAAATCCTAACCCCCATACCTGTCTGTGGCTGTCGTCCGACATGAGAAGTGTTTTCTCTGTTGTCTTGAAAAAAGGATAGGAGTTGGCTGCCTTTGAATTGGAAGCCTCTGCTTTGGTAAGGCCCCGGTGGTGCTGAGGGTGAGGTGCTGGGCTGCTAGCTGCAAGGATGACAGCAGGCCCACCAACTGCTCAGCAGGAGGAAGCTGCTCCAGAAGACCCGAGTCTGGAGACCATCATGAGGGGTCACATGGGCCGGAAAGGACCCGGGGCACTGGGTTTGGTGGGTTCGTGTTGGGTGTTTGAAAAGAGCAGATTAGGCAGAGGCAAAGAAGACGGACATTGCATGAAGGCCACCAAGGAAGAGAAGCTGAAAGGCGAGCGCCTTCTCCCAGAGTCCAGGGGCAAGCAGCCTGAAGCCGGTGTCTCCAGCCTCCGACACGGTGAGACCGTCCACTGTGGTATGTGTGTTACTGGAGCCCCAAGAAATGAAAACATGAACCAGAAACTGGAACAGAGAACCTGGCAGGAAGGCGTTTGTGCTGATTCTGGTTGAAAGTCTGTAAGATGTAACGGGGACACTGATATTTATAACGGGACAGAACTTTTTGAAATTGCGCATGTCTTTAGAAGAAACCAACAAAAAACTCCATAAGATATGGTCAGCCAAAGCCTGGGAAAACCAAGTTTAATATGCAGAATGAAAAATATAATAGTACGGACCCTTTCATGTATGTAGCACCACGATCTAAAGAATGGCCTTGGGATATCAGAGAAATTGCCAAGGAACGTTCCCCCAGGCAGTCAGAAACACCCAGAAGTAAGGGGAGTTCTCTAGCAAACATTGAAGTTGGTTCCAGTCTTAATCACCACCTCCCCAAAAGGAAAGTAAACAAAAAAACAAATTCATGTGGCATAACGGGTTAGGCACTGGGCTGCTAACCCCAAGATCAATGGTTCAAACCCACCAGCGGCTCCATGGGCAATAGATGAAGCTGCCTGCTTTCCTTTAAGATTTATAGTTTTAGTAACCCTAAACAGCAGTTTGTTCTGTGCTGTTCTGCAGGGTAGAACGAGTCAGAATTGGCTTGTCAGGAAATGGTTTGGGTTAGTTTCAACAGTAGACACGGTCTTGTGTGAATCCTAGTGACCCTGTCATTCAAGCAGTCTGTTGCTACCACCCCTACTTTCCAGGGGTACCTTTCAGATATTGGTGAGGGACAGGGGGAATAACGACACACAGACACCAAGATAAAGTAACTCCTAAAATAAAGCGACTTCCACCAATTTTAGTTTCTCAGTGCGTAAGTTATATCCGTATTATGCTATCATGTTTTGCACTGTGAAAAAGCCTAAGAAAATCTGAAACGTGAGAATTACCAAAATGTGACAGATACAACCTGGGCACATGCTTTTGGGAAAGTGGCGCCAATAGACTTGCTCCACTCGGGTTTACCTTCCACATCTTCAAAGCACCATAAACGACATGCAGGAAAGCAAGGTATGAGCTGTTAATTTTAAGATGGCTTGTCAGATGACACTTAGCTAGATGACAAAACTGGGAACTCACCTGCCAGATATAGCTGTGAGATGTCATTTATTGGGCATTTAAATCCAGGCAAAGCCAAGCCAAGCCCAGAGGAAGCAATGTTTGGATGGAGCTCCAGCTTCCAGAAAAGACCATAGGACATGACACCATACAAGTGCTTTATCTATCATATGCTCTTGAGAATTATTAATGACTAAAGTAGTGGGAGGTAAGGGGAACCAATTACAGGGATCTACATATAACCTCCTCCCTGGGGGACGGACAACAGAAAAGTGGGTGAAGGGAGACCCCGGACAGTGTAAGATATGACAAAATAATTTATAAATTATTATCAAGGGTTCATGAGGGAGGAGGGAGTAGGGAGGGGAAAAAATGAGGAGCTGATGCCATGGGCTTAAGTGGAGAGCAAATGCTTTGAGAATGATGAGGGCAATGAATGTACAAATGTGCTTTACATAATGGATGTATGTATGGATTGTGATAAGAGTTGTATGAGCATCCAAAAAAATGTTTTAAAAAAAATGATTAAAGTAAACAGAACTCAACTCTACATAGTAATTGCATCCAGGATTTGTAAACTCCCCATCTTGGTGAGGCGACAAGTATATATAAACAAGTGCAAGCAGAGGATGAAACGATGCTTGAACAACAGGGTTTAAAGATACCGTAGGGGCCCATGGGAGGAAGAGCCAGAGAAGGCTATGTGAGAGCTAGGCCTGGAAAGGCATGTAAAATGGGTGAAATGTGGGGAAAAAACACATTTGAAAGAGAGGGAGCAGAAATGTACAGAGGCAGAACTATTAGCTTTTTGGTCTCACCAGTATTCCACCTATACGGGGTGTACACAGCCTATAAAATTGTCCTGAAGTAGGAAAATGTATTTCTCTGTTACCATTTCCATCACTAGAAAAATTACCACATTGGGAGATTACTGTCTGCCACTGTAATAAACTGGTCTATTCTTTTAGAAAACTAGGCTTTGGATCCATCCAGAAGCACTAACAAAACCTGGGTCATGGTGACAAACACCGAGGTGGTAGGTGTTCCTCAGTAGGGAAGGAGCTTTCTGCATGACTCTCTGGACAGCGTCCTTCCAAACTACAACATGAATTCTGAACCAGCGATTCCCGCACACGTCAAAACCACGCAGATTCTTACTTCCCACCCTTGATGATTCTGGTTTGGCACACGATAGGAGTTTGAGACTCTTTTCATAAAGTACTCTAAGTGATTCTGAAGCTCCGTGGAGCACTGTTTATAATATCGCCACAGACACACAAGATTTACAGCCCACATGGTTCCACTGGGTTACTTTTTGAGAAAATATATGGCAAGATTTGCAAGAGAAGTAAGAAGCAAAAAAAAAAAAACAAACAAATCAAGTTAGGACACAAAAGCAATTATGATTGTGATGGGCCACTTACTTGAAAATGCTTAAAGATTAATTCAGGATTGAAGTACAACTGAAAAGGTGTGATCAATTCCAACTGCTGAAATGGAAAAGCACATCAATAAAGAAGCAAACGCATCATTTACAAGCAAAGGCTAGTAATCCTAGCAATTTCTAACCCTCACTGGCTTAGACTGAACTCCTTTAAGACCAACTAAGCAGGATCGCGGTGAGTCGGAGTGGACTCGACAGCAGTGGATTCAGTTTAAGTTCATGGGCCAGAGGAGGAAGTTGGTAAAGCCTTCTTGAGAATTGGTACAATTATGTGTAGTCTCAAGATTTAATGCAAAGTAAGTCTGTTTTATATAGCAGTTGTCATAAAGGATTCGTTGATAGCGGGCAAGAGCAGCTGCTACGAATATGCCCGCGATCACGTGAGCTTCACCTAAACAGCTGCTGTGTGACTCTCACTCACTTTTAGGCAACCCTGCCGCCGTCAGTCTGGACGTCTTTAGCCAACGCCTGCGGTCCCTCTTATTTTTTATTTATTTTAGGATCTTCCACTCTCCACAATCCTGTTTGCCACTCTCGATATAGGAGTATGGGTTGCTTGACAGAGCACTCCTCCAATTACCATCATAACACCTGGCCATCGCTCAGCGTCCTCGCACAAATTTGCTGGGTGGGCGGATCCAGCTGCCCGGATCCGCTATACAGTATATCCAGCGTGCTCTCACAGAAACCGACGTGCCGTCCTGATCCCACTCGTCCCACCTGTCAAGGAGTCGCGCTCCTCGCCTGCCTCTGGTATCAGCACTCTCGAGGCCACCCTACACACTAAAACGAACCCTGGGCACCCCCACCCACCCCTGGGACCAGCCCCCCGGGGCCTCTCCGGGGTCCAAACCCCAGCTTTTCCGGGACTTAGTCACGTCCAGCCGTGAGTAACGAGCAGCTGGCACCACAGTTGCTCACCACAGCGGCGGTGGTGAGGACACAGGCGGTGGTGTAAGCGCGGCTGACCGGCGGGATCTGCAGGTACTCCAGCCGGAGGCTCTGGTACGCCATCTTTCCCACCGCCGCCAGGCCCCCACTTCCACTTCCGCCAAGCGGTCCCAGCGGCCGGGCAAGAGCGAAGGAGAGCCAGGGCGGAACTCTCATTTTAAGTATTCTCCAGACTGTCCAATCGGCTCTGAGAAGTCAGCCATCCACCAATCGCTAGCCACGTAGGGAAATCACAACCACCAATCATGAGTCGCGTCGCCACAGGCCCCACCCTTCTTCCCCGCCCACCAACGTCCGGTTCCTTCCGCCAATCCCCGCTGGCCACAGCGAACTTTCCCGCCTGGGCCCTTGCATCAGCAAGGTAAGCCCGCCCCCCACCCCACCCCAATTCCGAACGGACAGCTAGCCAATCCGCAGCGCGGTGGAATCCCGCCTTTGCTTTCGTTCCCTGAAACAAGTATCTGACGGGGTTTGGGGGCGCCCTTGGCGTCGCCTATCGCTGACAGTCCAGGGTGGTTTAAAGGAGGTGGCGGGAAGCCGCTGCGTGGTTGGATTCCTCTTTCTGTGGTCGCCTTGGTAAGTAGCGCGGGCCCGCCTTTTCTCGGAGGAGAAGCGGGGAAAGGTACAGCTGGCTTCAGCATCCTCGAGGAGCGATGGAAGCGATCGTTAGAGAAGAGCTTCGTCAGTCGGCTGGAGGGCGTCCAACCTGGAGGTCCCGGCATGCAGCGGGCGCGCAGTGCAGGTCGGGAGCCTGCCTACCTGCCTGCGGGCAGGTAACCTCCCCAGTTGGCACTCTCCGTCCCTGTCCAGCGTGGTTTGGGTTCGTCCCAGACACCTCCGGTCTTTAACTCCAGCGAGGAAAATGAGGCAGACCCCTGGAATAAAAATTTTGAAAGTGGAACTTGGCGAAGCGCCCTCGAGGTCTGATGATAATTCAGAGGACGGAGTGGGCATCTACTAGCTCCAAAAGGGTATTTGCCCAACGTCTCCCGAGTAGAAATGGTAGCAGTGGAAGATGACTGGGTCTTCCTTAACTGGTGCTCCTGTAACAGAAATACTAGTGGGTAGCTTGTATTCTCGCAGTGGAGGGTGAAGGCTCACTCCTGCCCCCTTACGGGAGACGGGGGAACTCGCAGCATCTCTTGCCCACGAGTGCTTCTGTTTGCCTCCGTTTGGGCTGGTCTTTGTCAATGCTGTTATTCAGAAGGGATTCGTTTTAGGACACTCACTAGTTGTAGACCTAACGTAACAAAGAGAATTCCGTAGCCATACAGGTTAGAATTCTAACGGAAGCTAAGGTAGGACTTACACATTGAATCCACAACACCCTAGCTGGTCAGGTTAAGCACCCCCAGCTTTAATTTGTGGCTTGTAAGCAGCCCTGCTGGCTGCTGATGGGTAACCGTGGGACGCCTAACTGAAAGTTAGGTGGTTCAAACTTACCAGCTCCTCTGGGAGAAAGATGAGACTGGGTGCTCTATAAAGATTTGACAGCTTTCAAAACCCTCCACTTGATGGGAGGAGGGCTTTTGTTTTGTTTTAAGGAAGCTTTTAATTTATTTCAGAAAAGTTTTGAACGGGAGTGAAGTTAAGTCTGGTAGTGTTAGAGTATGGAAGCGACATAAAACCACTCCATCTTATTAAAATTGAAGAATATGCCTTTTATTACATACAGCAAGCTGGGCCAAGAGAGGAGGCTATCGCCTGAAAAAACATTCTTGACTCTAATCAAGGGCTTAGATGGGCTGTATACAGTAGTTAAACCAGGGGGCTAGACTGGGGGGCAGGAGGCATTCAGTAGTTACATCCTTTGTTTATGGGCAGGCAGGATATTAGCAGGGAACACCTGTAGATGAGCAGAGGCTGTCAAGATTTACTACATTCCTTGCATATCTGTCAGACAGGCTTTCAGAAGGAGCTAGGGCAGTGGTTCTCAACCTTTCTAATGCCGCCACCCTTTCATACAGTTCCTCATGTTGTGGTGACCCCCAACCATAAAAGTGTTTTCGTTGCTACTTAATAACTCATTTTGCTACTGTTATGAATCATGTAAATATCTGATATGCAGGATATATTTTCATCATTACAAATGGAACATCATTAAAGCATAATGATGAATCACAAAAACAATGTCATTATATATTGTGAAATATTTATTTCTAATGACAAATCAATGACATTTTGTCTTGAAGCATGGTGTAGCATGGGTAACAGTCCTCACACCGGCTACTCGTAGGTGGGGGGATCTGCCTGTGGGCACACCGCCTGGAGACAGACAGAGGATTGGTGTCTCGGTTCCTGTGAAAGGGTCGTTTGACCTCCAAGGGGATCGTGACCCACAGGTTGAGAACCGCTGGGCTAGGGGAACATTGGTGAGGTGGGTCAAGGTCTGTCAGGAGATTGGGAGAGTCTTATCTGGCAAGAGTATTTTTGGATGAGGCAGACTTGGGTGGAGCTATGGATAGGAAGGTTGCCTGTTTTCCATAGATCACTTGAGTTGATCACTTTTCAAGGTAAAAGGAGACCACCACCTGACCAGCTTTGGCAGTGTGCCAGGGGAGAATAAGGCAAGATGGAGTTGAGAATAGGAAGTTTAGCTTAAGGCAAGTCTTGAATGCAAGGTGTTGATAATCATTGATAACGATTGGGCAGAAAGTCTCTGTGTAATACAAATGTTAAGATGCTCAGCTAGTAGCTAAAAGGTTGGAGGTTTGAGGCTACCCAGAGGAGCATCCGAAGAAAGGCCTGTGGCTATCTACTTCCAAAAATCACCTCAACCTATAGACTCTCAACATTCCTAATAGCGCGACCCTTTAATGCAGTTCCTCATGTGGTGGTGACCCCCAACCATAAAAGTATTTTCGTTGCTACTTCCTGTCATTTTGCTATTGTTATGAATCAGGTGACCCCTGTGAAAGGGTTTTGACCCATAGGTTGAGAACCACTGCTACAGAACATAGTTCTCTTCTGATACCAATGGGGTTACCATGCGTCTGAGTCAGCTTGATAGCCCCAGGTTTTAGGGATCACCTATAACAGTTCAGGATTGGTAGAAACAGTAACGATGAAGACAATGGAATAGTTAAAGATATGTTGATATAAACAATAAGCTTTGCATATTGCTATGTATATGGAAAGAGCTTAGTATGCCATCTATGTGTAAAACTGGATGGTTTCAGGTTTTTTGTTTTTTTTTAAAGAATAGCTGTAGAAAACAATGTAACACCTTCCAAATTGGCAGAAATTAAAATGTTAGATAATAGCAAGTGTTGGTTAAGGGACAAGAAAGAAGTTCTTAAGTACTGCAAGTGGGAATAGACTTTCTAGAAAGTGGTAAGTGTCTGTGTAATAGGAATGTTAAGCTACTCAGCATTCCCCTAGTGGTCACACCTTGGGCTGCTACCTGCAAGGTCAGGTTTGAAACCCCCAGGTGCTCCCAGGGAGAGTTACAGTCTTGGAAACCCACAGGGGCAGTTCTACCCTGCCCCGTATTGTCACTTAAGTTGGAATTGACTGGATGGCAATCGGTTTGGTTTGGTTTGGTTTTTTGGGAGAGCATTTTGAAGTGTTTTGTGAAAATGAGGTCTGAGTAAACCGTAGGGCCCACTAGTTACATGCCTGTGTAAATCGTTTGCCAGTCAGTCAGGAAGCATTAGAGGAGGGTGTTAAGGTGAGTGTTTTAGAAGAACAAACCCAGTGACACTTAGGTGTATAAGAAAGAGCTTTAGATCAAGAAAGCCGCCCAGCCCAACTCAAGTCCACGGAGCCCTCTCTAGACTTGTGCAGCTGCAGACCAGTGAAGCAGGAAGCAGGGCTCATAGGCTGGTGGGTTCAGTCACGTGAATCCAAGGGCAGCAGGAACACAAAGGGGCACTACAGCTCCCAGGGTCAGCAGGCCACATGGGCCACCCCCCGAGGTAGATGCCAAATTCAAGCGAGCAGGAAAGTCAGTGCCGACTCAGTGAACGTGTAGGATGGGGTAGAGCTGCCCCTGGGACTTTCTGAGACTAACTGTTTACATGAATAGAAAATCCCGTCTTTCTTTCGTGGACCAGCTGGTGGTTTCGAACTACTAACCATGCAGATTGCAGTCCAACACATAACCACTGTGCCACCAGGGCCCAGAAGAAAGGTGAGAGAGAGAGAATTTCTCCACAGTTACTCATAAAGAGTCTACATCCCCACAGGAGACATCATTCGGCTGTTATGATTGTGAGATTGGGCTCCCCCCTACTTCCACACAGGTATATCAAGTTGACAAAGAATCTAATCACAATAGTGTGTTCACTATAACAGTATTTTTAAAAATCATTTTATCGGGGGCTCTTACAGCTCTTATAGCAATCCATACATCAAATGTATCAAGCATATTTGTACATATGTTGCCATCATTATTTCCTAAACATTTACTTTCTGATTGAGCCCTTGGTATCAGCTCCTCCCCCGCTTGTGACCCCTTGATAAATTATAAAGTATTATTATTTACATATCTTACACTGACCGCTCTCTTCCTTCCCCTGAGGTTTCTTCCCCCCATCCCAGCGACCTCTTCTTCCCCCTTCTGTTCCTGGGGGGCTTATCTGACCTGGATTCTGTGAGTCGTGAGCTCTTATCTGTACCTGTGTACGTGATCTGGCCTAGCCCACAATGAAAGGCAGGGCTGGGGTCCATAGTGGGGGGTGAGGAAGCCTCACGGAACCAGAGGAATATTGTGTTACATCAGTGCTATACTTCACCCTGTGTGACTCATCCCTTCCTTGCAATCCTTCTGTGAGGAGATGTCCCTTTGTCTACAGATGGGTCTTGGGTCTCTGCTCCGACCCCCCTCGTTCTCAACCATATGTTTTTTGTTTGTTAGTTTGTTTTGGGTCTCTTGATGCCTGTTACCTGATCCCTGCCGACACCATGCTGGCACAGGCTGGTGTGCTTTTTCCATGTGGGCCTGTTGCTTCTCTGCTAGATGGCTGTTTGTTTAATTTCAACCCTTTTAAACCCCAGGCGCTATATCTTTTGATAGCTGGGCACCATCTGCTTTCTTCACCACATTTGCTTGTGTACCCATTTTACTTCAGCCATTGTGCCAGGAGTGTGAACATCACAGAATGCCAGTTTGTTAGAACAGTGTTCTTGCGTTGAAGCAGAGCTTGAGCAGAGGCCCAACGTCCATCACTTCCTCAATGTTTGTGGAACAAATATATGCACATATGCCGATACCTCTATCTTTATGAATTAATGTATTAACATATATACACATCTATGTTTGTACCCCTATCCCTAGCTTTGCTTCCTGGATCGTCTGTTTCCTTTCCCACCATCACCCTCGCCCTTCTTCTGCCTGTTAATAATTCCTCTCAGCTAGATTGCTGTTGCTCCAACACCCCCAGTATCTCTATGTCCTCCTCATTGATATTTTTTTGGTCATAAATTTTTTTTTCCTTGATCCATCTCATGTACTTTTTTTTTCTTTTTTTAAAAATTATTATTTTTTAATCATTTTATTAGGGGTTCACACAACTCTTAGCACAATCAATACACACATCAATTGTGTAAAGCGCATTTGTACATTCATTGACCTC